CTGAAGAGCTGAAGGACAGCGCCCAGGCCCAGAGTTCAAGCCCCACGACCGACAAAAAAAAAAAAAAAACAAATATTACTTCACCCTTCCTTCATAGGTTGACATAGATCAAAAAATATTATTTCCTGAAATTATTGGGATTATATTTTACAACATAATTGTGTGTCATTTTGGCACTATACTTTGCTTTTGGTTATACATATTTGTATATGTTTTATTTCCTCAAAAGAAATAGTCTTTATTACTTGTAAATATGAATGACTCACATATGTATTCTCCATTATGACAAGTGTGGCACTTTGCACATAGTAGGTTTTCAATAAATACTGGTAGACAATAGAATTATTGAATAATCATGTAAAAATGACTTAAAATTAACAATAAAAAGGAGGTTATTTTATTCTTAATCATATTGTAATGTAGACTATTTTAAACTCTAAGCAGTGATGATACACACAAATATTTAAACTATTTATGTGCCTCAACTTGACATAATTTTATGATAACTTGATGGCAATCACATTTAAATATATTAGAATATTTTTATAATAATGCTATTCTAGAATAGCAACTTTAATAGCTGGGAAAACATGTTAATAATGGCCATTAGCCTGAAGGAAACAAGGAACATTAAACATTTTTTTTCAGAAACAAATGTATAAGTTTAAACATTCCAGTATAATATTTATGAGCAAACCTCAAATTAAAATTTATAAAATGCAAACTGTCAATGTTCCGGTTAGAGAATAATTTAGACTATATTTTGTAATTTTTCTCATGTACACATGGGTGAATACTGTACAAAAGAGATGATTATATTCTCCTTATGTCTTTGACTATCACTTTCTAAATACAAAGATGAATTCTGCTTGGATACAAGACCAATTCAAGGGAGAACTCAGTTTTATTTCCAACAAAATAAACACCAGAAAAACGGGTAATTGCAAGAGTTGGACTGGGCTCAACGGGAAAAGGAAAAGGAGAAGGTGGTGAGAATGGAGCAGAGAATTCAAAGTATGGACTACAAAATTAAGAAAACTAAGAGAAAGGTTGAGTCAGGATGGGTAGTTAAGAATATTGAAAGGGGTGATATTGATCATGATGCATTGAATTTATAAACTGCTTTGTTAAATGACAACTCTCTAAACAACTTCTTCAAAATAATAATAACAATAACAACAACAATAATAAAGCCTAGATTACTGATCAATGTCTCAGGCTGTAAGTAAATGATTTTTCTTACCTTCAGGACAGCTATAAATGGCACAAAGTTAGCCCTTTGAAGTCCATTTTTATAGAGATCTGAAAAAAATAAATGGCATTTTATTTAAATTTATTTAAATTTGCTTTAATCATAACATTAGTTTATCTTTAAAGCAGGCAAATAAAACTTTCTACTGATTTTTTAATACAGAAGCAAAAAAAAAAAATATGACCCAACATTGACTTTTATTCAGATACTATACAAAATTCACTATAATAAGAGAAAAAATAGCAGTCACAGAAAACAACTCAAAAAGCCTTCAATCAAATTGGCTTTAAAAAATAAAATGCAATAAAGAATGTGGAAGACCAGTCGCCGGTGGCTCACACCTATAATCTAGCTACTCAGGAGACTGAGATCTGAGGATCGAGGTTCAAAGCCAGGCCCAGGCAGGAAAGTTATCTCCAATTAACCACCAGAAAGCTGGAAGTAGCGCTGTGGCTCAAGTGGCAGAGCCCTTGCCTTGAGCTGAAGAACTTAGGGTCAGTGCCTAGGCCCAGAGTTCAAGCCCCATGACCAACAACAACAAAAAGAATGTGGAAGATTTCCCTTCCAAAATCCTAAATCAATAATTCAACATCAGATGACATGTTTAAATACACTTAATACTTGAATACATAGGGTTCTATTGTGAAATAAATTACAGTAAAAAATTAAAAGTTTTATATATATATATATTTATTTATATGATTAACTTTTTAGAGAACACATCAATAATCAGAATTGCTCTGTATTTGTATAAGGTAAAAAAAAATGTCACTTTAAATGAAATTGTCCAAAAACTAAAACTATATTTTAATAAGATGCAAAAATAAATATAAAGAAAACTATTTTTCCTTAGAAAGATGTTTATTATATGTGTGTATGTCATCATGAATATATGTTTACATATACATCCAGATATATATATATATAAATTCCTTATTTTTCAGGACAAACAAATGAAGATGCAACAAGTTTTAAGTTTTTGCATATTTTTCTTCAACAAAGGATACTTCTAGCCAGGCACAGTGATGCATACTTTAATCCTACCTCTCATGAGACTGAGGCAAGACAATCATGAGTTTAATGTTAGCCTAAGCTACAGAGTAAAAGCCTTATCTCAAAAAAGGGGATAAGAGGGGCTGGGAAGGTAGCTCAGTGGTAGAGTGCTTGCCTCTCATGCATGAGGCCCAAGGTTTGATTCCTCAGCACCACATAAACAGAAAAGGCTGGAAGTGGCACTATGGCTCAAGTGGTAGAGTGCTATCCTTGATCTGAAGAGGCTCAGGGACAGTGCCCAGGCCTAGAGTTCAAGCTCCATAACTGACACAAAAAAAAAAGGTGGGGGGGAATAAGAGACTACTTCAATTTTTTTTTCAAGAGTTCAAAATCTTATTCCATTGAAAAAATCCTTTTTTTACAACCATTCTATAAAGATATTAGACTTTTCAATTATAAAAATAAGAATAGTCAAAAAGTTCACTCAAACATAATATAAATTAGATTAAATTATATCTCAATTTTTAAGTATAGCATTATGGGATATTTTCTATATTTTCTTGTTTAGAGAAAATTTGATAACGAGGATAGATTTCAACTGTCACATTTACTTATAGGAATAAAATATGGTCATTAAGAAACATTTATTCTCTTTAGAAAAGTATTCATCATAATATCATTATAGTGAAGAAAGTATTTGCATAAGCTATTTGATTAATTAAGGAGTAGAGGCTTCAAATCAGTTACATTTAACATTTTTTATTTAGGGATATCATAAAAGGTAAGATAATTCTGGTAGGCCACTAGGATTTCAAAATTCAAAATGAGATCTTTTCTTTCCTATAATCGTACCTCTAAGAAACAAAATGGGCAAAATGAAAGAAATGGCTTATGGTTAGTTAAGTATTTTCATTGTTAAGTATTTTCAAAAGCTTTGAGAGAGGGCTGGGAAGTTGGCTCAGTGGTAGAGCGCTTGTCTTGCATGCCTGAGGCCCTGGGTTCGATTCCTCAGCACCACATAAGCAAAAAGAAAAAAAAAAGCCGGAAGTGGTGCTGTAGCTCAAGTGGTAGAGCACTAGCCTTGAGCTGAAGAGCTGAGGGACAGCGCCCAGGCCCAGAGTTCAGGCCCCACGACCGGACCCAAAAAAATAAATAAAAAGCTTTGAGAGAAGTACATAAAAACACTACTGGGTAATAGTGGTTGACAGCCATAGTTAACAGAAAACAATGAAAACTCAAAATAAGACCATTTTTAAAATATATACTCAATGTTTATAGCAGCATTACATATAATAGCTAGAAACTTCAGCAATCCAAATGACTATCATTAGGTACATGGAAAAACAAACAGTGGGATAGCTGTACAATGAAATACTATGCAGCAATAAAAAGAAAAATCTTGATGACTTTCAAAATAATTATGTAGAATTCAGAAAGCCAGACAATAAAAATGAATGTATACTATATGGTTCCTTTATATGAAACTCTAGAAAAAGCAAAGAGTTTGATAATAACAAAAATTAAAATAAATAAAAATAAATAACAAAACAGGGCAAGGTGACAGTGAGAGATGAAAAAAAAGGGCCTGAGAAAATTTGGGGAGGTGTTTGTAATGTTAAATACATGACTGGCATTATATTTTTATAGATGTATAGACATGTCAATATTTTTAATTGGATCCTATAAACGAATACCATTTATTGTGAATCAATTAAAAATTTATCAGAAGCCAGGCACGAGGCTGAGATCTGAGGATTGAGGTTCAAGGCCAGCATAGGCAGCAAAGTCCATGAGACTCTTATCTCCAATGAACCACCTGAAAACCAGGAGTGGCACTGTGGCTCAAACGGCAGAGCACTTGCCTTGAGCTGAAGAGCTCTGGAACAGCTCCCAGGCCCAGAGTTCAAGCCCCTTGACCAACCAAAAAAAATAGAATAAAATTCAGAAACATGCATTACTACTTATCTAAAAGTATACTATTACAGAACTCAAAATAAGATATACTAATGGAAGTTTGTGTTAAGGTAAACTTGTTTTAGCTTATAGAACAGCATCTTATGACTTATAAGACTGTGATAAAGCTTAACAAGTGTGTATCTTTTAGAATGTTAATGACAAAGATGTAAAGATCCACTTGTAATATTCTTGATTAAAAGATTTCCACTCATCAGCAAAGTTAAAGCTGAATAATAATAGCCATTAACTCTTAAGAGACCTAATTTTCAAAGAGTTAGTTTTTTAAAATTCAGACTTTGTAAAGACACATTAATTCAAAACTTTATACAATGAAAAGTATTTTCTAAATAGAATTCTAAACAGAAATAATTTGGCTTGAAAACCTTTAGGTTTTTTTAGGACACTTAAGTGAGAAATGACTGTATTCATTAAATTGAAGAGTTTTTCTGCAATTCAAATATTATGCTAATTATTAATGCAACAGATCCATCTTCTGAAATGTTATTTCACTAGCAAAGTATTAGTTGTTTAATATTATTTTTCTCAGACATAAAGATTTTATAATACATTTATATCAACATTTGTCATTATTTACTAAACAATATTTAAAAATTTAGGAGCTCTTGCCTTTGATTTTTTAATGATCTTTGAACATAACTAAATGAACACTTGGTCATATAAAATAGAGTACCAGAATTATGGGACATTCATTTTGCAGAGAATAGTATAAGGACTCTAAATTCTCCACAATGAATAACTATAATAATACTTACAAATGAAACACATACAAAGAGGATTTTTGAAGTAATTACAAGCACATAAATACTTTGGAAATGCACATAGATATGCAGATCTTTCTCCTAAACAGCCAAATATGAAAATAAGAGTTGGATGAAAAATGCTTATTTATATATGTACAAATCAGTTTAAAGTAAGAAAAACATTTAAAACATGTAATTAAGATACATTTTTGGCAATGTGATTCATGCCTGTGATAATAGCTACTCAAGAGGCTGAGATATGAGGATCAAGGTTCAAAGCCAGCCTTGGCAGGAAAGCCAAGACTCATATCTCTAATTAACCACCAAAAAGCAGAAAGTGAAACTATAGTTCAAGTGGTACAGTGCTAGTCTTGAGTAAAAAGTTCAAGGTCAGTGCCTGGGCCCTGATTTCAAGTCACAGAACCATCACATACACAAAAAGGTTTTGCATAAATTGACATATTTACATGGTTCTATGGAGTCAATCTAATTTATCCTTCCTAGATATTTTTGTGTTATTATAGACTAAAATGGTACTTTAGGCCATTTAAGCAAAAATACCCAGCTTCCTCTTAAAAAACTAAAATTCCAGCTAGATGCTAGTGGCTCATACTTATTCTCTTAGCTACTCAGGAGGCTGAGCCCAACTGAATCACTCAAGGCCAACCCAGACAATGAGACCCAATCTCAAACAATTAATTGGGCATGGTGGTGTCATATCTGTGATCCTAGCTATATGGGAGGCTCACAGGTGCCAGGCAAAACTGTTCCAAGAACCTATTTGAAAAATAATCAAAGGAGAAAGGACTAAGAGCACATTTCAGGTGGTAGAGTGCCTACCTACTTCATCAAGCATACAATCTTGCATTCAAATCTCAGTGCCACAATATAATATATATACACACATACATATATATGTCCATGTATGTGAATTTACACATATAAAAGTTCCAAGAATATTTTTACTGAATCTGTAGATTACATATCTAATTAAGTATTCCTATTTGGTAGAATATTGTGGTTTTACAATCAATTCAATACACAATTATGAACTCATACTATATTCCTGCACTGAAATAAAGGTTGAAGACAGAAAATAAATAAAAGGAGGAGCTAAGTTTTACAGAATACCTACTAGAAGCCAGACCATTTGCTAGGCACTTCTCCAATTTATAAATATATACTGGGGGGGTGGGGAGATGGAAAGGGATGGAAAGGGGAAACAAAGGAGGAGGCAACAATGCTAGATAAGAAATGTACTCATTATCTTGCCCATGTAATTGTAACTCCTCTGTATAGTATTTTCACAATAAAAAAAGAAAAAATATATATATTACAAC